GGGTCCAGGGTGCGGGATGAAGGGGCCTCCCCTACCTGGGTGGGGTCCACCTCTCCCTGGATGATGTTGAGGATGGCGATGTAGCAGTGGTTGGTCTGGCGGTCTCGGCCTGTGGACACCATCACGTTCTTGGGCTGCAGCAGCCGCCTCATCACATCCAGGACCGTGGTCTTCCTCACGCTGGCCACCTGATGGGACAGTGAGACAGGAACCCGGCCAGCGCTCAGGGAAGAGTCCCCCTTTGGCTTCTCCTTGGCAGAAACCAAAGGCAGAGGGAGGGTAGAGAGCAAGTCAGCAAGAAAGTCGCCTGCTCTGTGCTAGTCCCTGAGCACAGTGCCTCGGGGCCCGCAAAGGGGAAGTGGGGAAGACAGAAAGGCTAGGGCAGGGCCTGCTGGGCCCAGGGCCGGCCTGGCCTGGGACACTGAAGGCTGCTCTTACTGACTGGTCCGTAGTGAGCGGGGTGTAGCCGGTCATGAGGAAGTGGAGCCGTGGGGTGGGAATGAGCGAGGCGATGAGGCCGATGAGGTCATTGTTCATGTAGCCGGGGTAGCGCAGGGTGGTGGTGCTGGCCGACATGATGGTGGACACCTGGGGACAGGGGTGCCATGTCGTGGGCCTCGGCCACAATGGGACCTCCCTTCCCCAGATGACCGTAAAACAAGGAGGGCCTCTAGTCCAAAGGAGTCTGGGAATGGGAGCCCACCAGCTGGTTGATCTGGGAGAAGGACGGGTTCTGGATGTGCAGGCGGTCTGTGGCAATCCGGTTCAGGGCTGTGTTGTCCAGCACCACCTACGGGGACAGAAGAGGGTCACAGATCAATGGGGATAGGAAAAACAGGAGCTCTGCCTGACCCTAGGCTCTGAAGCTTAATTTCCTTTGAGTTTTATGGCCAGAAAGATCCACTGAAAAGGGATTTGCACTGACCTAGGGCAAAAGAGGGCTCAAAATGGATTTTTAAATTTTTCTTTTCATCTTATTTAAACATTCTTTTTTTTTCTTTTTTCTTTTTGAGACAGCGTTTCACTTTGTCACCCAGGCTGGAGTGCAGTCAGTGGCACGATCTCTGTTCAGTGCAGCCTCTGCCTCTGAGGTTCAAGTGATCCTTCTGCATGTACCACCACTCCCGACTAATTTTTGTATTTTTAGTACAGATGGAGTTTCACCATGTTGCCCAGGCTGGTCTTGAACTCCTAGACTCAAGTAATCCAACTACCTTGGCCTCCCAAAGTGCTGGGATTATAGCCATGAGCCACTGCACCTGGCTAAAATGGATTTTTTTAAATACATGAAAATGATTTAATAGACTTGAGTGGGTATGGGGTGTTGGGAGTTGGGAGAGGTAGAATCCAGGACTCACCACACAATCTGCGTTCTGCGTCAGCCTCTTGAGTGTGAGGAGTGAATTGTAAGGCTGAACCACCACATCGCTCATCTCGTCCTGGTTGGGAAACACTGAGTATGTCTGCACCAGCTTCTTAGGATACCTGGTGGCGGTTGGGGAAAGGATCAGGGCAACAGACTGAAGGCGTTGTGAACATGGTGCTCCCTAACAACTGTCCAGAAGCAGCTAAATCTTCATGGTGAAACTGGGGTGCGGTCAGATCAGTAGAGAAGAGAGCCTTGACTTTTGGAAGCCTGTAACCCCACAGGGGGAAAGGCAGAGACATCTCAGACTCTGGGCTTCCAAATCCACACCTGGCCACACTCCCTCGACTTTCATCCAGGGCTCAGGTTCCAGGCTCCAGTTCCCGCTACTGGGAGTGTGATGGGGTTCTCAGTCATTGTAACTTCATTTTCCTCTCTATAGGAGGGAATAGAACTCTTTCCTGTTCCAGCAAATATGGAGTTATATCTGCTGGGTCCACTAGTCATTTAGGAAGCCAAGTTGGAAACCTTTCCTAATCCCCAGACACAAACTTACCTGTCATTCAGCCGTTCTAAGAGGTAGGAGCCCAGTCCAGAGCCTGTCCCCCCAGCAATGGAGTGACACAGCACAAAGCCCTGCATGGGGAAGCGGCAGTCAGTATCCAGGTATCTAGTGGCAAGATGTCAAACTAGACCCATCTCATAATTTTTCAGGACTCTCATTTTCCCGAGCCCTTGCTTCCCCTCCAGTCCCTCACTTATATAGCTTAGGCGACTGCCTTGTTTCCAGCAAGGCCTGATAGCTTCTGTCCAGTGCAAAGGGTACATGAGTGGGTCTCGTTCCTAACAGGTCGCTTCTAGAGGGTGCTGCTAAGCCTTGCTTATGTCGGCTCCTACCAGCATTCCTGGGACACTTACCTCTAGACTATCACTACCATCTGCCTCCCGGTCTATGATGTCAAAAATGTCCTCGTGGATCTTTTCTCCCTGTACAGACATAGGGGAGGGTCAGAGTGGGACAGAACCACGGGAGGACTCCGACCTCAGAAAAGCCACCCTCAATTCTCCTTATAGCACCCAGGAGTCCTTTTATGGAGTACAGCTGCCTGCTTTTTATCTACATTGAGAGGCGGTACGGTGCAGTAGTTACAAGAAAGCACTCTACACCCAGACTACCTGGGTTCATACATTAGCTCTATTTTTTTTTTTTTTTGAGACGGAGTCTCTCTCTGTCTCCCAGACTGGAGTGCAGTGACCTGATCTTGGCTCACAGCAACCTCCACCTCCCGGGTTCAAGTGATTCTCCTGCCTCAGTCTCCCCAGGAGCTGGGATTACAGACATGTGCCACCATGCCCAGCTATTTTCTGTATTTTTAGTAGAATCAGAGTTTCACTATGTTGGCTAGGCTGGTCTTGAACTCCTAACCTCAGGTGATCTGCCCGCCTTGGCCTCCCAAAGTGCTAGGATTACAGGCATGAACCACTGTGCCCGGCCCATTAACTCTACTTCTGTGTAGCTCTGGGCAGCTTATTTAATTGCTCTATGCCTCAGTTTCCTCATCTGTACAATGAAGGTAATAATACAGGTCCATATACCCTTATCTAACAGTGTTGGGGCCAGTTATATTTTGGAATTCAAAATATTTCAGATTTTAGAAAGTTATTACGGTATATACAATATATATTAAATAAAATTCCAGTGGGAGTCAGAAGCACGTTAATCACACATATTAGTATTTCTGTAATAAAAGGCATCAGTAATGACAATAAGTTGGATAGAAAGTATGGGGCCGGTGCGGTGGCTGAGGCCTGTAATCCCAGCACTTTGGGAGGCTGAGGCAGGCGGATCACGAGGTCAGGAGATCAAGACCATCCTGGCGAACACGGTGAAACCCCGTCTCTACTAAAAATACAAAAATTAGCCAGGCATGATGGCAAGTGCCTGTAATCCCAGTTACTCGAGAGGCTGAGGCAGGAGAATCGCTTGAACCCCGGTGGCAGAGGTTGCAGTGAGCCAAGATCATGCCACTGCACTCCAGCCTGGGCAACAGAGTGAGACTCCGTCTCAAAAAATAATAATAATAAATAAATAAAAAAGAAACCGCCTGTCTTCATTGAGATTTGTTTTTGCTGCTGAACTAGTTATGAAATGTCCTTTGGTTTCATGGCTTTCTGGATCCTGGAAAGGCACATAAGGGACTGTGGACCTGTAGTACTTACTTCTAGGGTTGTTGGGAGATTTAGAAAAATTAATATATGTAAAGCACTTAGAATGGCCTGGCACACTGCATTAGCTAGCATAGGCGCTTGACAATATTACATGGTCCACTCCCTGCAGCCACGTCTCTCCCTCCAGCATTCATACATCCCTGATCTGGTTTCCTCTCTCCCTGGGACGTCATATGGCCTGTCCCTACCCAGGGAGTTGTGGGCCCTGTCAGGGAATAGGAAATGACCTGGGAGAATCCACTGGCCCAGTTGTTGCCAGCTCCTCCTCCATGCTCCGACAGGTAGATGTTCTCTGGGTTGTAGAGCTTGGCATAGGGGGAGTTGAGGATGGAGTGGATCACCCGGGGCTCCAGGTCCAGCAGCACGGCCCGGGGGATGTAGTGCTCATCGTCTGCCTGTCAAGGGGAGTCCAGGAGGGGGCCCAATCAGCTAGGGTGGCCCAAGTCCTAAGTCCTCCCAACTCTGGCTCCCTCCAGCCCTCCCTCCTCAAGCCAGCCGCCTGGCCCCACTGCCCAGCAGGGTTCCCAGTACCAGGCCACTCCCTTCCCTTCTGGCCCCTCGGGCCATTGCCGCCCTTGGCCAAGTCGCTGGGGGCACCTGGTAGAAAAAGACGTCCTTGCGGTCAGTGCCTTCGGTGGCGAACTCCTCCACGATGCCCTCGGGGCTGATACCATGCTCAGCGCACAGCTGTTTCCAGAACTCGAACCCAACTGGGGGGGAAGGGGCAGGCAGGGGAGAAAGAAGATATCTAGTTCCGGGCAGGTTCCAGTCAGGAGCGGGGGGACTGGGCGCCTGCGTCCAGGAATAAGAAGTCAAGCCGTAGGACTCTCCCGTGTCTGAGGAAAGGACTGTACGCCAGGGACAGGGCAGGGGAGGGCCCCTCGGGGCTGGGCAAGTGGACACTGGGTCAGGGATGTCTCGCCTTTCAGAGAACTACGATTCTGGCAAGGACAGATGGAGTCCAGGATCCTACAGCGAGATCACATTGACCCTAAGGAACCTGGCTAGCTGAGGGGCCGGAGTTTCGCTCACTCTGATTGCCGCACTGGCCCAACTGTAGGGTGATGATTTCCCTCGGCATCGCTCCTCAGGCACCGGCGTTGCAGCCGCTCCCGCCCGCAACGCCGCCGCACGCCAGCCCGCTCGCCGCAAGACGCAGGCGCGAAACAACAAGCTCCACCCACGAACTTCATCCGCTCCAATGAGAACCGAGTTCTGGCAATGAATGGCATGTCTTTAAGCCCTGGCCTTCATTCATGCAGATTGCGCGTGCGCGGCTCCTGATCAGGCTCTGAGCCGACAGATCAGGTTCCGCGCCTCAACGCTGGCGGGGTACTTTGACTCGGCGTCCTCCCTCCCCTGTGGGTAGACGCCCGCTTGGGCCTGCGCGCAAGCGCGCTGTGGTGCGAAGCGGCCTCCCACGCCGAATCGCGCATCTGCGCAGTTGCTGTTATTGTGACTGTCGGGCCACGGCCCCGGATGTTGTGGCTGCCGGGGGGAGATGGCGGAGGCCGAAGGGGTGGCGGCGACCCCAGGCCCGGCTTCGGGGTCGACTTTCAGGAGCCGCCGAGATGTGTCAGGCTCCTGGGAGCGGGACCAGCAGGTTGAGGCGGCGCAGCGGGCCCTGGTCGAGGTGCTGGGGCCTTACGAGCCTCTACTGAGTCGGGTGCAGGCAGCCCTGGTGTGGGAGCGGCCAGCCAGGAGCGCCCTGTGGTGCCTGGGGCTGAACGCGGCTTTCTGGTGAGAGAACTGGACCCTCGGAAACCCTCCGAGTCCCGAATTCGTCGGTTCCTCTAGGGCTGTACTCGCCTGCCCTGTTTTCTTCGCTGCACTGGCTCCTTCCTGTACCTGCCTAATTTTGCCTCACCTCTTTCCACTCCATCCCGCCTGCAGGCTTGGGCACCCCAGTTCTTCCCAGGGCCGTCCACCCGTCTTCTCTGCCTTACCGGTGCCCGTACCTCCGCCGTGCACATCTGGCGGGAGCTTCTGGTAACATCTGGAGCCGCTCAAGAGTGAGCTAGGGCGCCTCTTTTGAGCCCGGGAAAGCTGCGTCCCTTTAAAGCCATCGCTTCCTTTCTCTTGTCTGCTCAAGTGCAAGTTCTAGATTGTTTCCAGAGGTTTTAGTAGTTATTGTTGGAGTACAGGCGTGAAGTCTTGCAAAGGTATCCATAGGTGTGATTTTAAAACAAGCTTGAGCGAGTCGCATGAATTAGCATGTTGTATATCTAGGAAGGAAGTTTATGAAGTCTGAGCGTCAGTGTGAGCCCCCAAAGCTGAAAATTGAAAGAAAAGTACAAGCTTTTAAAGAACAGTTAGGAAATGACGGAGATTTCACCCGTTTCAAGGCCACCTGTGATTGTAACTCCTCCCTGTTCCAAGGAATTAGAGAGGCATCCTTAGCCATTGTTTATAGGCAAAGAAATTGAGGATGTCCAATAGTGTGTGTGTGTTCCCGAGCTGGAAAAGTGGCACTATAAATATGCTTTATCTGTGTGTGTCATGCTCTGTGAAAATGGAACTGCTACTTCTCCCAGTTGTCATCACCTAAAGCGGACCTAGGACTTCATAGGAGCTAGCAACCATAGTTTTGGATTTATTCGTAATGGAAGAGGTTCCAAGGGAACTGACTTCTAGGGGGCCTTCTGCAGCTGAATGGATTAAGACTGTTCTGGATAAGCCTGAAACAAAATATGTGTGTTTTTTAAATGTGTTTTTGCTAAAAATAGCTTCCCCTTAAAATTGGTTTTAAAATCAAAACATTATCCTTTATCTGAAAGATTTTCAGTGAGCTGAAGCAGAACAAATAATTCCAAGTTCGTTGACCTGAAGACAGTGTTCAGCTATTAAGCTAATCCTCTCCCAGTTTGAAAGAGACCCAGTTAAATGTGTCACAGTAGTCTCTGGCATTTGTGGCTTCCAGAGCCATTAGCATACTCGATGGTAAACTTTTCCTACTACTTCATTTATTCTTGGTAGTGCTTTTTCCCTTTTTTTTTTTTTAGACAGAGTTTCGCTCTTATTGCCCAGGCTGGAGTGCAATGGCACGATCTGGGCTCACTGCAACCTCCGCCTCCAGGATTCAAGCATTTCTCCTGCCTCAGCCCCCCAAGTAGCTGGGATTATAGGCATGAGCCACCAAAACCGGCTAATTTTGCATTTTTTAGTAGAGATGGGGTTTCTCCATGTAGGTCAGGCTGGTCTTGAACTCCTGACGTCAGGTGATCTGTCTGCCTCGGCCTCCCAGAGTGTTGGGATTGCAGGCGTGAGCCACTTCACCCGGCTTTTTTTTTTTTTTTTTTTTTTTTGAGACAAGGTCTTGCTCTATCACCCAGGCTGGGGTGCAATGGTATGATCTCGGCTCATTGCAACTTCCACATCTGGGCTCAAGCAATCCTCCCACCTCAGCCTCCACAGTAGCTGGGCAGAGGTGCACATCACCATGCTTGACTAATTTTCAAAATTTTTTGTAGAGACAGGGTCTCACTATATTGTGCAGGCTGGTCTCGAACTCCTGGGCTCTGGTGATCCTCCCGCCTTGGCCTCCCAAAGTGCTGGGATTATAGGCATACACCACCGTGCCCAGCCAAGTGCTTCTTCCTTGACCCCTAGGTACTGATTCCCATTGCCCTCTGTAGAAATCTTCACTATAGCACCTCACTGAAGAGTGTTTCATCCAGTCAAAACATTTCCCACAGTGGTTTCGGTCTCTCTAGCAAGAAGGCTGGGCCTCATTAAACCAATTTGTATCAAAGTATGACTGCCTGATGAAAAAAGACACTTTATCAGGGTTTACTTATTTTTGTTTTGAGAAAGTTTCGCTCTTGTTGCCCAGGCTGGAGTGCAATGGCATGATCTCAGCTCACTGCAACCTCCCCCTCCCGGGTTCAAGCGATTCTCCTGCCTCAGCTTCCTGAGCAGCTGGGATTACAGGCATGCACCACCAATGCCTGGCTAATTTTTGTATTTTTTTTGTAGAGACAGAGTTTTGCCAGGTTGCCCAGGCTCATCTCAAACTCCTGAGTTCAAAGCAATCCGCCTGCCTCAGCCTCCCAATGTGCTGGGATTACAGGTGTGAGCCACTGCACTGTACCGGGCCTTAAATGGATTTTGAAACCAAAGATTTATTAATGCAAATGAATTGGTAGCATGTATGCTGTTCTTTTTGAGGAGGGGCCGTTTTTTTTTTTTTTTTTTTTTGAGACAGAGTCTCCCTCTGTCGCCCAGGCTGAAGTGTAGTGGCGCCATCTGTGCTCACTGCAAGCTCCGCCTCCCAGGTTCACGCCATTCTCCTGACTCAGCCTCCCGAGTAACTGGGATTACAGGCACGTGCCACCACACCCGACTAATTTTGTGTTTGTTTTTTTTTTTTGAGATGGAGTCTTGCTCTGTTGCCCAGGCTGGAGTGCAGTGGCCGGATCTCAGCTCACTGCAAGCTCCGCCTCCCGGGTTTATGCCATTCTCCTGCCTCAGCCTCCCGAGTAGCTGGGACTACAGGCGCCTGCCACCTCACCTGGCTAGTTTTTTGTATTTTTAGTAGAGACGGGGTTTCACCGTGTTAGCCAGGATGGTCTCGATCTCCTGACCTCGTGATCCGCAAGGAGGGGACCTTTCTTCTGCCCCTTGTCCAAGAGAGGTTTCTGAAGCAGAATGTGAGGTTGAGGTCTGCACATAAGGAGCTGCTGTGACTGGGATATATCTAGATGTTACAGCTAGCTTTAATTTGCGGGCCTCTACCAGTGTTTACTTAAGCTTATGAATATGCTATGTTTAGAGGCTCACTTCATACTCCTTTTGTACTCTGGGTCTCTTAAAGCATTGCTGTGATTGGTTTTTTATCTTTGGCATTTCCTAGTAGCTTGTCTGCTGTGTATCCAGAACACAGTTACTCTTGTTACAGTCCCATCACATTTCAAGAAGGTGTGGGAGAGAGACAACAAAGTGAGGATATGACTTTTTTTTTTTTTTTTTTTTAAGACGGAGTCTTGCTCTGTCGCCCAGGCTGGAGTGCAGTGGCATGATCTTGGCTCACTGCAAGCTCCAGTTCCCAGATTCACACCATTCTACTGCCTCAGCCTCCCAAGTAGCTGAGACTACAGGGGCTCACCACCATACCCGGCTAATTTTTTGTATTTTTTAATAGAGACTGGGTTTCACTGTGTTAGCCAGAATAGTCTCGATCTCTTGACCACCGCGCCCAGCCTTTTTTTTTTTTTTTTTTTTGAGATGGAGTCTCCTCTGTCGCCCAGGCTGGAATGCAATGGCGTGATCTTGGCTCACTGCAATTTCCGCCTCCTAGATTCAAGCGATTCTCCCACCCTAGCCTGCCGAGTAGCTGGGATTATAGGCACCCGCCATCATGCCTAGCTAATTTTTGTATTTTTGTAGAGACGGAGTTTCCCCATGTTGGCCAGGCTGGTCTTGAACTCCTGACCTCAGGTGATCCACCCACCTCGGTCTCCCAAAGTGCTGGGATTACAGGCATGAGCCACTGTTTCTGGCCGAGGATGTGACTCTTGAGACTAAAAGAACAGTTGGGTATGCCATTTCTGGAGAGGACTCCTACCTATGAAAGGTACAGATACTGTTAAGTCCCCAGAAACTTGAATAGTCTGGCATTGGAGTTCACAAAATTGTTTGGGGAAATGAGCTTCCTTGGTAGGTAATTAGAGATTTAAAATGAAATTTGGGCTTCACATTCTAGTGGTATCATATTGAGTATGAGGGCTGACATTTCACTTAGGAATGTCGAAGAGTGTTCAGTTAACAAACATTTTAAATGTTTAAGAAAGGGAGGAGGGAGCCGGGCGCGGTGGCTCAAGCCTGTAATCCCAGCACTTTGGGAGGCTGAGACGGGCGGATCACAAGGTCAGGAGATCGAGACCATCCTGGCTAACACGGTGAAACCCCGTCTCTACTAAAAAAAAATACAAAAAACTAGCCGGGCGAGGTGGCGGGCGCCTGTGGTCCCAGCTACTCCGGAGGCTGAGGCAGGAGAATGGCGTAAACCCGGGAGGCGGAGCTTGCAGTGAGCCTGCACTCCAGCCTGGGCGACAGAGCCAGACTCAGTCTAAAAAAAAAAAAAAAAGAAAGGGAGGAGGATCATTAGCTCAAGTCAGAAAAATCAAATCTGAAATATTTAGTTTCTCTTTTATTATTTGTATTGAATAATGAGATAAAAATGGCATATCATTAACTGAGATTTTTGTGCATTTTGAGGTATTAGAAGATTGGATAGGAGTACAAAAAAAAATCAGAATTCAGGTAGGTAGCTCTTAATTTTCAGTGTTTTGTATACTCAGTCATATTTTGCTGTACCTGTGAATATGCCTTCTTACATCTTAAAAAAAAAAAAAGATGGAGATAGATGTAGATACTTTGTCACTATAGTATTCCAAGGTTTTCACACTTTTTTTTTTTCAGGTACCAGAGAATTTATGGTGGCCATATCAGAGATCTTCCAGCCTAGAGTACTTCTGGTCACTGATCTGTTATTATCTCTAGGATAATAATAGAAATGTCAGGCCGTTCCTTCCAATTGCTTGTGTTTTCATTAGCCTCAACCTCATCTGTGAATGAGTGATTTGGGGGAAGAATATGAGAGTCAGCAAGCATGTATCCTGACAGGATCAGAAAAGACCAGGTTTGGGTAACTTTTTGGTTTGACTCGTACTCTGAGATCAGAGGAGGGTAAATGAACCCTGGAAATGTGTGAACTCCAAGCTCCCTCTCCCACCTAACAT